TTTTTTTTTTTTTAATTTCTTTTTCTAAATCTTGTGACGAATTTCAGGCCAAACTCAAGGAGGTGGCATCTTTAGAAGGGCACGTGCTTCTGAAGAAGCTTAGGGATGCTTTGGAATATCTGAAAGGAAGGTTGGCTGGTCGAAACAAAGAAGACGTTGAGAGAGCAATTTCGATGGTTCCAGTTTACTTCTTCAATAATAATTCAGTTTTTTCTTTACCTTCTTTAAACTAAAGTTTTTTTGGTAAAAATTATTAGCTTATGTTGCCAGGTGGAGGCCTTGGCAGTGAAGCTGACTCAAAAGGAAGGGGAGCTAATTCAAGAGAAGTTTGAAGTAAAAAAGCTAGTGAATTTTCTCAAGCAGGTAGTACAAACTCTTCTCTCTTTCTCACATTTTCAGTAGCTTTGATACGAAATGCACTTATATGTATTTATTTATTTATTTATATTTGTTCATGCAGGCTTCTGAAGATGCTAAAAAGTTGGTCAACCAGGAGAAATCTTTTGCCTGTGCCGAAATCGAGAGTGCAAGAGCTGTTGTTCAGAGGATTGGGGAGGCTTTAGAGGAGCAAGAAAAAAATCAAAGCTCAGGCAAACAACAGGTAACTGTGGAGACGCTTTGCTGTGTTTTTTTTTTTGGTTTCCCATGGAAACTAAAAGGTGCTATATGTGTAAAAGAAATGAACTTTTGACTCGCGCTTTTATGCTTATAGGAAATGGAGGGACTAATTGAGGAGGTTCAAGAGGCCCGAAGAATTAAACTTATGCATCAACCTAGAAAGGTGCATTGGAAATTATCTTGTTGTCTTTCTATATTTTCGAAGAATTAGAAATAAAAACTATGGTCATTTCCAATTTAATACCTTTTATTAGGCCGGACCCAGAAATGCATTTGCCGTTAGGTCAAATGGAGTTCATGATTATTAAGTTTTTAAATTGCCTCAACAAATTATAGCAAGCTTAGCTTTCTCTGCCATTACAAGTTTATATTTTCAGCTTGTTTGTGTTTGTAATTTTTTACATTTTATACTACTCAATTCTGTGTATACTTCAGGTAGTGGACATGGAGCATGAACTTCGAGAACTGAGGCTTCAAATCCGAGAGAAGTGTACAATTTCACTTCAGCTTCAAAATGAGGTCCGCTGTTTTATCAAATGTTCAGTTTCAGTTTGTCGTTTGTTCTGTACGTAATAGTCGTAACCTTCTGACATTTTTTTAACCAATATATGCAATTTTTCAATTGTCATACCCGGATTTTTTTTTCTTGAGTAAGTCCTATTGGTTTTACAGCTGGCAATGAGCATGAAAAATGAGGAAAACGGATCCCGATTTTATGAATTAAATGGGGCTGAGAATTTAGGTTCCATTTTACGAATTCAGACCTGTTCGGATGAAGCAGTAGAGCTCGGGAAATGTTCGATCC